AAGTTTTTTTAAATGTATGACCTTGAATCATATTCAAGGTCACAAGGAGCAAATATGTTCAAAATATTTAAACAACTTGTTCTGAATAATCAAAAGGCTCAGGATGTTGATATTTAGTCAGATCAAGGACTACTATGTTTGTTAAAGTGAATTACTTTGACTTATATTCAAGGTTACAGGGGTCAATTTGTTTAAAATCTTTAAACGACCTCTTCTGAATAACCATGGGTCCCAGGATGTTGATACTTTGCAAGTTGCATACTGAGATGAAAGGCTATACAATTTGTTCAACATAATGACTTCGTTCGACTTTTAAAGTAACAGGGGTGAAATGTTTTAAAATCTTTTAACAGGTTCTTTTGAATGACTTTAATCATAAATACTGATATTTTGCCTGTAGCTTTATTTTAGATCACTTTTAAGGTTGCAAGTGTGAGATTTATACCAGGTGAGCGATGCAGGCCCATTGGGCCTCTTGTATTGACATATATTATGTTTTATCTCAGATGTTTTTATCGAGGATTACATCAAGTTTTGTTATCAAAGGACTTTTTGTTGTTGTTGATAAAATATTATCATAAAAAGGTAGCTGACTATTTATAATCTGTTGTAAATTGTTTTGTTTTTGGTGATGGTATGCAAACCAGGTTTTCCTTTTTTTTTGCCTCTGTTTTACAGCTGAAAACAGGCCACTTCCCCTAGCTTTTATACAATTTTTAGGTCACCTGAGACAAAGTCTCAAGTGACCTATTGCGATCGCCTTTTGTCCGTCGTCGTCCGTCGTCCGTCGTGCGTCCGTAAACAATTTACATTTTCAACTTCTTCTCCAAAACCCCTGAACCAATTTCAATGAAATTTTTCAGGGACCTTTCATGGACAAAGCTCAACAAAAAGAGTTGCCGGTTTAGTCCAACGCCCCCAGGGGCCTGAGGGGCGGGGCCAAAAGGGGTCAAATTGACTAAAATTTCAAAAATCTTCTTCTCCAAAACCGCTAAACCAATTGCAATGAAATTTTGCAGGGACCTTCCATGGACAAAGCTCCACAAAAATAAATGCCGGTCTAGTCCTACGCCCCCAGGGGCCTGAGGGGCGGGGCCAAAAAGGGTCGAATTGACTAAAATTTCAAAAATCTTCTTCTCAAGACCCAGATATGGTAGAATCAAATACTCTTCATAGATGGAAGGGTCT